TGATTGATACTCAGGAAACACACACTTAGGAGCCAGCTTGACATTCTTATGGATAGCAGATATACTTGACGGGACATCTCCTGGTGTCTTCAGAAACAATAGATAGCTTGCAGCATCAGGGTTTTGGATTTTTACCTGCTGTGAACAAGCCTCAGCTTAGCATGACTTTTCCAGATCTTACTATAGTCTTTTAACAGACTTAAGGCAATTATTGGAGTGTTCATAACCTGTTGTAGAGAGGACTTCCACCAGTTGTCCCGGGAAAAGTATGACAACACTTATGGACAGAGCTCCAATGGGCTGGACGCTGTGATGAACCCTGTACCACTGTTCAAATGTTGCCCATACTCCCTTCTGACTCAGCCTATTGCCTCAGCATTCCCTAACCTGGCAACCGAGTTTTAGCCAATTAAGTTTAAATAGACCTCCCATAGTGGGACCGGGGAATGTACGGCCCGAGATGCCTAGTAAACTTACTTCTGCTTAGAGGTGTGTGTGTGGCAGCGGAAAGTCCTTTGTAAATCCAGATTAGAACTGGTCTGATAAATGCTGAGCTGGATGTGTGGGTTGATTAGCATTTGGAGCACAGATTCCCCATCATGCTGTACTCCCCTGTTTCGCTGATCCCATAATTTACTGAAGTCTCTGGTTCAGGCTTTCTGTTCTCCATCTTTCATATAAATGAATGGTCATCTGGTCCCATCTCAGATGCAAATGAGACCTAGGGCAGTTGTTTCACTTTTGTCACCCTTATCTGGAGGGTTTTAGGTGTGTCTCTCACTGCATCTTAATCAGTTTCTGTTTAGGGGGGGGGGGGGGATTCTTTGTGAGTCAGACAGTCTGCGTTCTGTGTCAGGGTTCCCCAAGAACATGGAGCTGAGATCAAGGCTTCACAAGCTGGACTGATTCACTTGGTGGGCCAGATCTTGTCTATGGGCTATAGTTTGTCAACCTGACTGGGAAACTCAGGATATGGAAGACCCAGGAGAGTGACCCAACTGCCAGGCTATAAGCAGTTCTGCTTTTGTGAGAGCCAGGATGAGCTGCTGCCTTTTATGGTCTCTGCTGTACACTATTCTACTTTCTATAACCAAAGATTCACTTGAGAAGGGACTATGAACCAGTTGCCTTGCTTCTGCAAGGACCATTTTAACTATGAGGGCACACAATATCCT